AGGGAAGGGGTAGCCGAAGGTCACAGAGGCCCTGTGAACCCCTCTGAGGAGCTGAAGTGGATCCAGCAGCAGCGGAGCCACAGATGGCTCCGGGGAGGGCGCTCAGTCGTCTGTGCATTGGGATGGACCACGCGGGCTGCGGGAAGGGGGTGGACGAGGGCAGACGTGGGACCCGTGGTGGTCACCGTGGAGTCTGCTCAGAGAAGGTGGTGGTCTAGCAGGGTGGAGAGGAGCAGACTCAGGACATAGGTAGGGACAGTGGGGCAGAGCAGGAGGCCCCATGCTGTCCTCTGTCCACTTCTCACAGTCTCAATCCCCACAAAGTCCCACTGTCTCATTTGGCTTAGAGTCCCCAGCCCTTCCTGCCACCCTGGTACTGCATTGCTCCCACTGCCCCTGAGCCAGGGGCCCTGGATAGCGGTGTCCACCCTCCACCTGGCAGAACCATGTCTGTGTGAGTGCCTGACGCTTGAGGGGCTTCCTCTCCGGGGTCTGGGACTCCCAGAAAGCTCGCCTCCATCCCCTCCTGGCTGATGCCAAGAACTCTGTGACCATGGGTAGGCACTAGCGTCCCTATTTTACAGCAGAACAAACTTGGCGGGGAATAGCCTGTGGGGCTGTGTTCCCTTGGCCAGTGTGTGGGGTGCCACTTCCCTACAGGCCCTCTAAGGATGGTCCTGCCCTTTACCACTCCCAGCACCTCCACCCTGATGTGAATGCACCCTCCCAGAGTCCCGCCACCTTCCCCGTCATCTGAGTTGGACTAGAGGAGATGGGCCTCCAGGAATCACTTCTACCCCCGCTGGGGACAGAACTATAAGGAGGGAAGGAGTCTCACTCTGCCTTGGGGTACAGCACTGCACCCCTATCTGGCCAGGGGCTGCTTGTCCTCCCTTCTCTGACCACCTCCTTTTATTTGCACCCTCCAGGTTTCCCATGTGCCCCAAACTCAGGGAACCCTGGGGGCTAAGCAGGGGATTGCAGATTGCAGGGCTGGGTCACGAAGGGGAGACACCTCCTGGGCCTGGACAGCTCTGCTCTCTCACCACCTCAGCACCCTCCATCCACTGGGGACCTGCTGGGCTGACGAGGACTGTCCTGAAGGGGAGATGGGGACGCACAGCCACAGTAACTGAGGGCCCTGTCTTCCGGCACCTCCACTGGGATGGGGGTTCAGGGGACCGTGCTGGGACCTCGGGTGGCTCCAGCGTGCAGGCCTGGTGGTGCCTCTGCATCTCTTCTTTCTGCCGACAGCCCCCTGCCACTCCCTTCCCAGGCCCTGTGGAGATTGGAGGGCCTGGAGTTTGTCTTGTGTTTTCAAGGCATAAAAATGGGCCAGTGTGTGGTGTTCAATGGGACCCACAGGACCTGTGAGATCCAAGGCTGGTGCCCTGTGGAGAGTGACACCGTGCCAGTGTAAGTGTCCCTGACACGCAGGGCAGGGTCCCAGGAGCAGCAGAGCCTGCCCCTTACCTCCCCCCCTGCAGGAAGGCCCCGCTGGTCCAGGCTGACAACTTCACGCCGTTCCTCAAAAACCCTGTCACCTTCAGCAAGTTCAACCTCTCCAAGTAAGCATGGCTGGTCCTGACTGGCCCCAGACTCTCCTTGTTCCCTGCTGGGCCTGACCCCTGGCCCCACCTCTCAGGTCCAATGTCTTGGAGACCTGGACACCACCTATTTCAAGTGCTGCCGTTATGACCCACGCTTCAGCCCTTCCTGCCCTGTGCTCCACATCAGGGACCTTATGGCCTCAGCTGGAGGGGTCTTGAGGACCTGGCATTGCTGCTGGGTCTCTGGGAGGCAGAGTTTTAGGAGGGCTTGGGGAGAGAGAGGGCCCCGGGCCCGCGTGCTGGTGGAACAGTGACGCGCTGTGTGTAGGGCGGTGCTGTGGGCATCCCCGGCCACTGGGACTGTGACCTGGACACCAGGGGCTCTGACTGCCGGTCCCCCGACTCCTTCCAGCTGCAGGAGAGGAGCTACAACTTCAGGTGCAGCCCCACTGCCCGCCTGCTGCTCCTCAGCCAAGTCCTCCCCCACCTGTCCTCCCGTGGTGTCCAGGACAGACCACACCCTGGCCCGTCCCTCTGGACGGTCTGCTGTGTGTGTGACGGGGGCCCCAGGGCAGGAGGGGTGCTCTCAGCTCCAGGTCCCCAGCACAGGCTATGTCCAGCCTCCCTGCTGAGCCCTTTGGCCTCCACCCCACCTGTCCCCACACCCCTCCTGCAGCTGGGACCCCTACCCCAGCCCCTCCTGCACTCCACCCTCCTCCAGCATCTCCCTCCGCGCCACAGGGGGCTTTCCTTTTTACTTTTCCCTTAAGGTTTTATCTAAAAAACTACAAAATCTATAGAAAACTTCAAAGATTAGTACCGTGAAAACCCATATAGCCTTCATCTGGGTTCACCAGGGCTGTTTTTGTTTTTCCCCCAACATTTTGCCCCATTTGCTTTCTCTCTCCCTCCCTAGAGTGACCCAGATATATTTAGATAGATGTCACATGAAATCATTGGAAAGTAAGTGGCAGATATTCAGACACTGACCCCTCTCAACGCTGTCCTGAAAATGAGGACTGTCCCCTGGTGACCACTGTCCTCTTGTGACACTCAAGAAGTCTAACATTGGCAGATAAATCGAACATTTAAATTTCCCCAGCTGTGCCAGTAATCGTCCTAGATCTTTCTATTTTCAGACCCAGGATGCACTCCAGGATCTTGCCTTGCAGGTAATGTCATGTTTGAGTCTCCTAAGCAGACGTCCCCCATCCTTCTGCCACCGCATGTCACCTCGTCACTCTCACATATACGTGGACACAGCCACCGGGCCTGGAGGTGACACCCCTTGACACTGCTCGCTGAGCTTGGCCTGGCCTGGCTTCACTGACCTCCCCAGCCCTTCACAACCATGTGGGGCTGGACCTGCCCACGCCCTGCCCCTTCCCCTCTGTGCTCTCCCCGCCCTACGTCTCTGCCTCGAACTCCTTCCTGATCCCTGGAAAACCGGCCTGACAGTCTCCTGGCAGGAAGCCCCTGGTTTCCGGGGGGAGCGAGTCCCCTCTCTGGACCCCACAGCCCAGGCCTGCCCCCACTCCCCCATCCCCACTGCCGGTGTCTCTTTAGGGACCCTTCTGTCCCTGTCCCCTTGGCAGGCAGGGAGCTTCTGAGAGGGAAGTCCCAGCTTGCTTGTCCCCTGTGTCTTCAGCAATGACACAGGGCTGAGACCCAAGTCTCAGGCTGAGGGTGGATGGAGTCAGTGGATGAGTAAGATGAGGCCTGTGAGGGCCGGGCCAGCCCAGGAGTGGGCAGAGCAGACCACTAGACTCTCCTGCCCCCAGGACAGTCACTCACTGGGGGAGGCCTCAGTCGCAGAGGCCCGGAGCCTGCTCCAGCTCTGTGGGATCCCCTTCGACATCCTGGTCACTGAGCAGGTAGGGGCCAGGCCAGGGTGCGTGGAGGCAGGCAAGGGTGAGGGGTGGGAGAGGCCGACAGCCACAGCCAGAGAGGCTCAGCCCAGGTCTGTCTCAGGCAGGGAAGTTCGGGTCCCCACAACCATCACTCTGGGCCCTGGAGCGGCTTGGCTGGGTGTGGTGAGTCAGCCAACGTGGCTCCCTCTGGCTGCCAGGGAGCATGTGCCCCACTGAGTGCAGACCCATGTTCCCTTTCTGACATTGAGTCTTGGGGTGGGGGCTGGGGAGGCGGCAGGATGCCAGATTGGGGACCAGGACATGGGGCTGCCCTGCCTCTCACACATCACTTTCTTCTGTGACCTGCTGCTGTTGTATGTGGGTAGAAAAGCCAATTTCTACTGGATATCTGGACACATATGTCACTGCTACCCAAGGGCACACCTTGAGAACGTGTCTGGCCAGCTGCCCACCCCAGCCTGAGGCAACTGCACGAGGACCATGCTCTGACCAAGACCCCAGGTGCAGCCCAGGGGCTGCAGAGAATGTCCTTAACAGAGCACATGGAAGCCCCAGCAGGCTGGCCTGGTTCTGGCTCTGGCATCCTCCCGGGGTCCTGAGTCCGGCATGCTGGAGAATTTCCCCATGTCCCCGGGCCCGTAGTCAGGAGGGGAGGGACGGGGGCTGCAGGAGTCCAGCCCTCTCTTGGTCCCAGAGAGGGGCAGAGATTTGGGAGTGCCCACCCCAGGGAGACAAGGGGCTGCCTTCTCAGGGGTCCCTGGTGACCAGGTCATGCTGGCAGCTTGCTGGTGGAGTGACATGGGCCAGGTTGGGGAGGCCCAGGGCTGGGGCTCAGGCTGGGGAGCATCTGGAATCATCTGGAACCTGGAACCCCAGCCAAGCCTTGGGGTCCCTGCTGCCTCTCAATCCCCAGAGCAGTGTCCATGGGAGGCAGGGTCAGATAGGCTGGGGTGAGAGTTCATGGCTCTGAGGCCTGGTTATTGGAGCGGGGTCACATGTACCTGGCTGTCCTTGGGGCCCAGAGAAGGCTGATGTCAAGGCCGCAGAGAGTCAAGGAGTAAAGCTGCCAGAGCCAGCAGCTTCCTGTGTGGTCCTCATAGGCGGGAACTGGGAGTCGGAGGTGTCTATGGTAGATGTAACATGGCCTTCAAGAGCCCAGTGGGGGTGCAGGCTTGGCCTGGGGACCCCAAGGACAAGGTCCCACAGCCATGAGGTGGGGCCAAGGCACTCGTGCACCACCTGCACAGGTGTGTCCCATCCTGTGCCTTCATCCCAAAGCCCTGATGGGGTGGCAGGGAGAGAGGCAGCTGGAGCTGTGGGCCCTGAGCTTATAAACAGCTGTTGCCTCAGTCTGCACGTGGCTGTGCGCCCTGAGGGAGTCGTGTGGGCCTGTGCCTGAGAGATGCGTGATGCATGTACCTGTGGGCCTCTACATCCCGGGGCCTCAGGCACATGCCCTGCTGTCTAGGAGCCCTGAGAAACTCAGGGACCCCAGGAACTCCACTCCCCTTTTTAGGCGGCCTTCTTGGGGTCTGGGTTCTGCTCTCTGGATCCGACCCCGAGGGGACATGTTGGACGCCTGGGAGGGAGCTTGGGCCCACCCTGTCAGGGACCCCTCTGTGCCTGGTATGTGTAGGAGTGTGTGCAGGTCCCCTCTGAGCTGGCCAGAGGGCACTGGCTTGAGGGGAGGACCCCGGGACCCAGGCCAGGCCATTTCCCTGACTCAGGGCTGTCTCAGGGCTGGTGCCTCCCCATTATAGAACCTCAGCATCTTTGCTGTGGATTAGGGACAATCGTCTGGTTCCTGGGGGCAGGTGAGGACTCAGTGCCACAAAGAACACCACAGTGGACATGATGGCAGGCCACGGAGGTGACTGAGCAGTTATTATTGTGGATCCCTGGGGCTGCGGGCCTCTTCCCTGCCTGCCCTGCTCACCTGCCGAGGTAGCTGGAGTTGGTCATAAACTGGAAGGTGCTGGGCAGAGTCCACCACACCAGCTCTGGCCACGACCCACTCATAAGGACTCAAAGCTACGCACCTGTGCTAAGGTCCTAAGGTCCTGAGGACTCCTTGGCATAGACAGGCCTACAAACCCAAGCTGTCCTGGATAAAAGGAGCTGCCAGCCTCTCTGTCCCCATGAGGAGTTGCAGGAGGGCAGGCAGGCCCCCAGCGGTCCTCATGAACTGGTGGGCTGCTCCGTGCGACCGGGCTCCTGGGCCAGTGCCTGGCTGGGGCGCTGCAGGGCCTGTGCCGTCTTTTCCAGGCTGCCACATGTGGCAGTCAACCCCGGCAGCTCCCGCTGGTTCTCCTTGCTGTGCCAGATGCCATAGCCAAAATACACCACGAGTCCTGTAAGGATGGCAAAAGCCTGAGGGGCAGGTCCCAGCCCAGCTTCCCTGCTTTGCTTCCTCCTGCCACTCACCCAGGGTCCCAGCCTGGCGCCTACTCACCGATCAGCAGACAGATGGACAAGCGCAGCCAGGTCAGGGAGCTCAGCTGCAGCATGAGGAAGACGTTGAGGAGGATGCTCAGGGCTGGAGTCAGGGGCACCATGGGAACCTGAGGGGCAAGGGCAGGGCTGCTGGGCTGCAGGGAAAGGCTGCTGGCCTGGGGCCTGATTTCTCGGGAGTCCACGGAGCCTTTCTCTGTCTCTGGGGATTCTGGAATCAAGGGCCCACTTGCCATGCAGAAAGACGGGGATGGGGTACTGGCCTCCCCTGCCCCGTGAGCCCTGGTGCATCCTGCCACGGCAGAGGAGGAAGGGGCGAAGGGAGCTGGCTGGGCTGAGAGTGAGGGGTGCTGGCTGGAGGAAGTACCTGAAAGGTGTCCTGCCGGCGCTGTTGCTGGTGGGCCCCCAGGACAAGGAGACTGAGCAGAAACATGATGGAGCTGAGCAGGAGTGTCAGGGTGTAGCCCCAGGGCGGGAGGTGCAGGGCCGAGCCCCCAAAGACCAACACGCAGTCCAGAGTGATGGCCGAGGACACCAGGACACCAAGTGCCCAAGCCACAGCAGCTCCAGGTCTGCACCCACCCAGGAAGCCAAGGTATGGCCTCAGGGCTGGTCGCAGCTGCCCAGGCTCAGCAGCTGAGGCCTGCTCTGTGCCCACAGGGCTGGCTGGGTCCAGGGAACTGGCTGGAGGGGACTTGTGGAAGCGTAGCACGATAATGCTGGTGGCCACGAAAGTAAAGGTCAGTAGTATGCTGATGGACCGGAACTGAACCAGTGTCTGGAGGTCCAGCAGCAGCGCCAGGAAAGCCATGAGGACCCCAAATACCAGGATGCCCACTACGGGGACCTGCGTCCGGGGGTGCACGTGGGCAAACACCTGGAAGAAGAGCCCGTCGGTGGCCATGGCGTATACGATGCGTGGCAGGGTAAAGATGTCACTGAGCAGGACGGTGTTCATGGCTGTGGCAGAGGGTGAGAGACTGGTTGGCACAGTGAACAATCCCACCAGGGGCCTCTGCTGGGATTCAGGGCATGGGTGGCCCCTTGGGAATATGGACATGAGTCTACCTGGGCTCTCAGAGTGAGCCTGAGTGTATGTGGGATGCTGAACTGCTCCCCCTCACCACCCAGGAATGGGACAGCCCAGTTTAGGTGACAAACCCACTGGAGACTCTGATGTGGGCTGAGTCCCTCCACCAGGAAAGGACCTGGCAGCACATGCCCAGAACTGACATTTTGTGTACGATTGGCAGGGGCAGTGAGTAGGTCCCTCCCAACGAGCCTGGGTGGAGAGTCTAATCATTAGCACCGTCCTGGGCCCAGGATGCAACTGGGAACACAGGCCCAGATAGAGCTGTGTTCCCTGGGTGGCATAGGGCAGGGACCCACCACCCTGTCCCCTCCCTCCTTGCCCAGAAAGGCCCCTTACCAGAGATAGCGCCAGCTGTCACAATGAAGCCCGCCCAGCTGTAGCCCCGCTGGTAGAAGGCATCAGCGGGTGCCGAGTCAGGGTCCAGGCTGTGCCAGGGCACAATGAGGGTGAGCACAGTGGAGACGAGGATGTAGGCAACAGCCACCAGGCTGAGCGTGATGATGATGGCCATAGGCACAGCCCGCTTCGGGTTCTGGGCCTCTTCGCTGGAGGCAGCAATGACACCAAAGCCCAGGAAGGCAAAGAAGCAGGTGGCGGCACCGGCCATGATGCCGGAGAAGCCGAAGGGCGCAAAGCCACCCTCGTCAGCACTCCAGTTGTACGGGCGGGCCAGGACAAACCCCAGGATGATGATGAAGAGGATGACGAGCATATTGATAGCAAGCAGCACATGGTTGAGCCAGGAAGAGACACGGGCTCCACAGGAGACAAATGTGGAGGCCAAAAGTGCGATACCAGCAGCCAAGACATCGGGGAACTGGGCCAGGAAAGGCACCTGCCAGATGCCCACGTGGGCCATGGTGAAGTTACGGATGCGGTGGCTGAAGATGGCGTCCAGGTAGCTGCTTGAGGCACGGGCCACAGAGGCACCACCAAGGAGGTACTCGAGGAGCACGTTCCAGCCAATGAGGAAGGCCCACAGCTCGCCCATGGACACGTAGGTGAACACGTAGGCAGAGCCTGTGCGGGGCACACGGGCCCCGAACTCCACGTAGCATAGGGCTGCCAGCAGGGAGGCCACAGCAGCCATGCTGAAGGACACGAGCACCGCAGGGCCGGCCATCTCCTTGGCCACGGTGCCCGTGAGCACGTAGAGGCCCGAGCCCACTGTAGCACCGACACCCAGCAGGGTCAGGTCCAGCGTGCTCAGGCAGCGCTGAAGTGACGTCTCCATGGTTGACTTCTCCAGTGGCTTCAGCCGGTTCAGCTTCTGGCAGAAGCGCGCCAGGCTGGCAGTGCTGGGCAGTCCCCAGGCCATGGTAAGCGCCTGAGAAGAGCAACAAGCCGGCTGCCGGCACCTACGAGGGCGAGAGAGGAATGACAGGCTGCCCCGATAGGTCCTGACCAGCCTTCAGTCCTTGCTCTGACACTGCCCTGGGAACCGAAGCCTCGAACCACTGGCTGCCTGGAGGGACGGATGAAGCAGGGTCAGGGTCACGGGGAGGCATGGAGATTGCTTTGGCCTGCCTCTGGGGCAAGGGAGGGAGCCTGGTGGAGAGGGACCTGGGCATGTTTGGGAGGGGCCCTGAGGGTGGGGAGGAGACCGCCCCAGGGAGCCTGGCTGGGAACCGCTCTAGTGGTCTGGGATCCCAGGGCGGGGTGGAAACCCGAGGCTTCCAGGGAGCTGGGCCAGGGCTCCAGGACCCAGAACACAAGCGACTCTGTGGCCCTGGGTGTCGCCCAGGCAGCCACATGGCCTCAGACAGCTGCTTTCATCCCCTCATCCCCTGCCCCACCAGGCTTGTGTATCAGCTGAGACAAGAACCAGCCCAAGGAAACAGGGCCATGTGCAAGGTCCCTGGCATAACAAGATAGGGCCCCTAACCAATCGGCAAGCCAGGGGAATCAGAGAGAGCACACAAAGATCCACATTCCACAGCCTCTGGACGTTCCTGGGTTCACGCACGCGCCCTAGCACCCAGGAGTTGCCTGAGGGTGACCCTAGCCGCATTAGCACGGTAAACATCACACCCAGGGGTGGAGAGCTAGCATGCTAATGATACGTGCATCACATGTGGTGGCATGCTGAACAACAGCACAGGTGCAAGCACAGCCCCGCCTCTCCACGCCATGACAAGGCCATCCTCCCAGGCTTGCCTAATAAAGCCCCACAGTCACGCTCCCTACCGACTGGGTCACCTGCCCCTTTTCTTTCTGCCCCAGCCCCCTTGTGCCTCTCCTGTGCCCAGGCTGATAAACTTTTACTTTTCTACTCCCGTTTGTTGCCTCTCTTGATTTCTATTCTGGGAGATAATAAGAACCCAGTGTGCCGGTAACAAGCCCCCACTGCCTGGAGCAGGGGGCGTCCTGAGCCATGAAGCCAAGACCAAGACCCTGCACTCTGCGTTCTCACCCTGACATACCACCGCCACACTGCTGTGGGAGCCACTTTCAATGAGTCCCTGTCCCCTCAATCTAGAGCCTTCATCTCCTCTCAGACTGAGTGCCACCACACAGAACTTGCTGTGACTCACCTGCTGTCACTGCCTCTGCTGCTCTGTGTGCAGGGCTGGCCCCCACTCCTGGGCGTAAGATCCAGCACTGGGCCCTACCTCACGGTCACACACACACTCAGCCCACCCTACCAATACTTCACACGGTCAAGACCAGAGTTCCCCAGGTTCTAGGGAAGCCTAACTACCGTGCCTGGTTCACAGATGAGGACACCCCAGCCACCAGGTAACTGACTAGCCTAGGTCACTGGGGTGGTTTTAGGAGGTCTGTGGAGGTGAAGGTCCAAGTCAGGGAGTGGGGGGTCTGGACCCCACCCGCTTTCCACTGCTGCAGACACCCTCCTTGATTCCTCATCCCAACACAGGTACTCCACCAGCTGGGCACCATCCAGGCCCCTCCACACTGGGAGCTGTGGGGCTGTGGGCGTCAGGCAAGACGCTGGGAGGACGAGGGTATGAACCTGGCTGAGAGGCCCTGGGCAGCGCCTGACCTCTGGGCACAACGGGATGGCAATAAGCACCCTCATCCGCTGACGAGGGAGTGCGCAGCTCTGGGGACTGTTCTGTGAATCGGCAGGACTCACGCTGGCTGTTCTGAGCTCGTAGCTGCACACGATGTCCTGAAAGGAGGCAAGCAGACTCCTGGGGACGACCTCCAGCTTGGGGCGTCCCTAGGGCCCCTCAGACACCAATGACAGCCCTTTCTAGACAGGAGCACCTGTCAAGCCTGGGGGACCCTAATGGCAGCTCCCCACTTGTGGATATCTGTGAGAAGTATCGTGGACTGAGCATCTCCAAGCCAAACTACATCACAGGTCTTATCACGTGACAATCACAACTCACCACCCCGCTTCAGGCTTATTTATTCCTGGAGCTGAGGGGTCTTTCTCCTTTTGCTCTTCCGACTTCTTTGAAAGAGGAAAGGTTGATGTGACAGGCTGTTAACTTGTTTACAGCAAAATGGTGACTATTCTGCCAATTAAAGAAAAACCAAGAGAGATATCCTCTTCCCCAAGAACTCTCTCCATGTTGTCAGGTTTCTATGTGGTTTGTGGAATAGGACTTCAGGGGCACCTGCAGGCTGTCTGGCTCAGTGGGCTGGTGACAGGATGATGTGATCCCAGACAAGATGGTGCCACTTAGAACGCTCTGCCAGAGCCCGCCCCCTTGCCCCCTTCTGATATTTGGCTGACATCGTCTCGAGGAACTTCTCAGATGGTCTCCCACTGCCTGCAGGGACGACAGCTCCTGTATCTCATTCTGTTTGACCTAAACACAACTGAGCAGATGTTCCTTGCTCTGAAACGCCTTCACAAAAATCCAGAAAAATGCATTTAACACCAAGAGGCTTGGGTAATTTTGTAACAGGAGCTCCCTCAAGGACTTGCCAGTGACCACCTGAGAGCTGGTGTGCAGGCTTTCGGAGCACTCACTGATTTTATCTACCCAGAGAGGGGCTCTCACCACACCCCTTTCATAGGAACCAACATCCAATGGATATTTATGGCCAAGCATGGTTGACGCAGTAAACTGTAAACTTCCAGGGATATGACTGGGCCAATGGCTGGGACCCACTGAGCAAGGCAGTTACACAGAGTGACACCACTAAGATGTGGTGAAGATAAAGCATCACAAAATATAAGAAGAAGAAGAAAGAACACTTCCCACCTCATTCTACAAAGCCAAGATCACCCTGACACCAAACCCGACAAAGACATCACAAGGAAAGAAATCTACAGCCCACCATCTTTTATGAATATAAATGCAGAATTGCTCAACTGAATACCAGCAAATCAAATCCAGCAACATATAAAAAGGATGAAGCAGGATTTACCCCAGGAATGCAAGGTTGATTTAGCATCTGAAAATCAATCAAGGTAGTATGCCATACTAATAGAAGAAGGATGAAACCACCTGATCATCTCAACAGACACAGAGGAAAATGGTCTGCAAATCTGAGTAGAAAGGACTGCCCTCAAACTGATGAAGATCATCCACGAAAACCCTCGGCTGCTGTGCTCAGTGGTGAGAGGCTGAAAGCTTTCCCTCTGATCGGGAACAACCTCGGGATGTCCTCTCACCACTTGTCCTTGACATTTTACGGGAGGCTCTGGCCATGGCAATTAGGTGAGAGCATGAAATCAAAGGAATCCAGATTGGAAAGGAAGAAGTACGACGACCTCTAGCACAGATGACACGATCTTATGGAGAGAAAATGCTAATGAATCCAGACAGAAAATGTTAGAACTAATGAGCAAGCTCAGTGAAGGTGCAGGATACAAGATCAATATACAAAAATCAATAGTATTTCTATACACTAGCAATGAACTATCCAGAAATGAAATTAAGAAAATGATTCTGCTTCCATAGCATCAAAAAGAATAAATTTGTGTATAAGCATACCGTAGAATAAATTTAACAAAAGAAATGCAAGAGTCGTGCACTGAAAACTACTAAACATCATTGAAAAAAATTAAAGAAGACCTAAACGAGTGGAAAGACATCCCACATTCCCGGACTGGAGAACTTAACATTGTCAAGATGGCAATCCTCCCCAATCAGTCTGCAGATTCAGTGCAATCCCTGTCACAATCCCAAGTGCTATTTTGCAGAAATTATCAAGCTGATCCTAAAATTCATGTGGAGACGCAAGGGACCCAGGACAGCCCAAACAATTTTGACAAAGAACAAAGTTGGAGGACTTATACTTCTGATTTCTAAACAGACTATAAAGCTACAGGATCAAGACAGTGTGTTACTGACAAAAGGATAGACATAGAGATCAATGGAATAGAACTGAGAGTCCAAAGTATGAGCAATTAATTTTTAAAAATTTATAGCCAATTTAAATTTATGGCCAATTAATTTGTTAAAAATGGACTTTATATTTTAGAGCAGTTTTAGGTCCACAACAAAATTGAGCTTAAGGTGGAATTCTCATATACCCCCAGCCCCTACACCTGCACAGCCTCCCCCACTTTCAACATCCTCCAGCAGATTGGTACATTTGTTGTGACTGATGAACCTACATTGACACATCGTTATCACCTAAAGCTCATAGTTTCCATTAGGGCTCACTCTTGGTGTTGTACGTTCCATGGGTTTTGACAAATGTATAGTGACATGTATATACTATTAGTGTAAGCCCTAAAAATCCTCTGTGCTTCACCTACTCATCCCTCCCTCCCCACTAACTCCCGGGAACCTCTGATCTTATTCCATCTCCACAGTTTTGCCTTTCCAGAATGTCATATAGTTGGAATCGAATCAGACAGTATATAGCCTTTTCAGATTGGCCTTTTTCACTGAGAAATGTGCAGTTAGGTTGTCTTATGTCTTCTCATGGCTTCATAGCACCTTCCTTTTCAGCGCTGAGAAAGATTTCTTGTCTGGATGGATCACAGTTTATTTCTTCATTTACCTACTGAAGAGCATCTTGGTTGCTTCCAAGTTTTGGCAATGATGAATACAGCTGATGTCAACATCTAGTGCGTATTTGTGCATGGACATAAGTTTTCAACTCATTTTGGTAAGGACCAAGGAGTGGGGCTGCTGAATCACATGGTAAAAGTATGTTTCATTTCATAAGAAACTGCCAAACTGTCTTCCAAAATGACTGTACCATGTTGCATTGCCGTCAGCAATGAATGAGCACTCCCGTTGCTCTGCATCCTCAGCAATATATGGTGTTGTCAGTATATTGAATTTTTGCCATTCTAACAGGTGTGGAGTGGTGTCTCAGTGTTGTTTTAATTGGCAATTCCATAATGACATAGGATATGGAGCATCTTTTCATATGCCTGTGTGCCAACTGCATATCTTCTTTGGTGACATTTCTGGTCAGAACTTTGCTCATTTTAATTGGGTTGTTGGTTTTCTTATTGTTGATTTTTAAGAGTTCTTTGTATATTTTGGATAACAATCTTGTATCAGATACGTC